AACAACAACAACAGCAGCAGTGACAAGAGCAGCAGCAAGAGCAAAAGCAGAAGTAACAACAAAAGCAACAGGAACAAAAACTTAACTAAAGCCGAAGACTTTTACCTATTTTTCCTGTCATCGACATCAGCTACAACCATCTTCCATCTTTTATTAATGCCAGACACTTTATCCCTCAACATCCTGGCTTCCATGGCGTTGGACTGACGGATTATCTCATCTCCCATGTTATTCACTGAATTGATCATGCTTTCATGCGTCGAGATGCCATCTTCAAGACTCTGGTAAGACATTACAAAACAGTTTAAGATATTGGTTTCCATGGTTACACAAAATTATCCTTTGTCTTACTTTTAGTTGTCATGACTACCACTACCGGTTGTCATGGTTGCTTACAATGTTAAGTGTRCCGCTATCTTTTTTCACTCAAAGAGATGTTGTCGTTAGCGCAACTACTTGTTGCCATGGAGGTGCATGGTGTTAAGTGCACCCTTATATTTTTGTTCATTAATGACAGTATTATGGTTACCACCACTACTGGTTGCCATGGTTGCGCACAATGTTAAGTGCTATCGTTACTGCCATTAATTGTGACCATGGTTGTGCATGCTGTTTAGAGCACCCTTATTTTTGTTCACTTATTACAGTGTTATGGTTTCCGCCACTACCGGTTGCCATGGTTGCGCTTACGGTTTACTGCACCCTTACCCTTTGTTCACTCATGGCAGCATCCACATTGAGGTCACCATTAGGCATCTTACTGTCTGCAAGGATTCTTTCGACCCTGTTCAGCCAGGATGTTAAGTCTTTGAGGTCGCAGTGGAATGATCGCCAAACGGTCTGCGCCTTCTCCCATCTAACCATGCGCATTTTGTAATCCTAGTAGAGAAAATTAAAACAAATATTATGTGATTGGTCTTGCGGTGCCGTGACCTTGGCGTGACTGTGACCGCGCAGTGCTTATGTTACCGAGTGTTCCGGGTATTTGATTGGATGGAGAGTAAATTCTCGTGCAATGTGATTGGTGTAGGCTATGCTTTGTGCGTCACGACGGTGTTCGTGCCGCCATCTTTTCACAGTCATATGAAAATGTTGTATACCTTGTTCAAGTTGTTCCAGTCTAGGCGTAGTTTGCTAGCACTCTTCTTCACAGCATCATATTCTCTATCATCGGTACACTGTTCATGGGTTAGTGTTTCACTGCGGTTAAAGACATCTGATGCCCTTGTCTCTATATTCTCCATCTTATCGCCAATAGACTAATAAAAGAATAACGAGATTAGAGTACAGTGTTTCTCAATAGCACGCGCGGAATCCTAGAAAGTAGGTTTTGGTGGACGTCAATCAAGGTGTTTCCATGATATTTGTGCCGTTAAAAAAATAGAGGGTTTTTTACAATGTCATGGAAACACTTTGACRAAGAAAATAAAAATTTCCCAAAGTTGATATTTGCACAATATAAGTAAATAAAACTAATAGTATTAGAATTATTGACTTCCCACCAACATCCTTTTTTGTCGCGACGGCAAATTGCACGATTCCCCGTTTGGTATTAGCCATTCCATAATAATAATAACAATTTATTTACAGTCGATAACGTAGTAAGTGGACGCCCAATCTTCCGAGCAACGAGGCTTATGTTAAAAACGCTCGAAAAAATCTCAAAAACCTCCACCATCCCGCGCCCCTCAATTCACCCCACAATCCTTTGCGGCACGAGTTCGTTACCAGTCTTCTTGTGAATAACTAAACCCCTTTATTTAAACCCCTGTTTTTGAAAAGAAAAGTAAAATAACGTACCTTGAGTTTGTCTTCCTGGTTCGAGAAATCTTCATAATCAGCTCCCTTCAATTCTGCAGAGTTCAGTGTGTTGTAAATCTCTTGCACCTCGTCCGACAGCTTGGACATATCCTCGACTAATGACCATCCTACTGTACCCTTACCTCTCTCAGGTGATGAGTAGAGGTACGTTGTTATCCATCTTATATTAGCTAGTCGATGTCTGGTAAAGACATCTTCTCCTTCTGGATGAAACATTAAACAAAAGGTGATGTAAGTAAATATACTTTAGTGAAATGTTTTGGTAGATCTTGATCGAAATCTTTCTTTTTCTTGTACGCCGTAAAAAAGAGCACCGAACGAGGAGTGATGTTGTAAAATACATACATATATACTTCAAGTAGTTTTCTTCTTCATCAACATACCTTCAGGTACCATGAATCCACTGCATTTCAAGTCCTTAGACTCCCCAGGCTGGTCCTTGCCTATCCACGTGTTACAATCAAAGTGATAAACCTTGCCAGACTTACGGTCCTGTACATAAATACTCCTAACATACCAGGCTGGTTTAGGACCGGAATTATCATGCCATATCTTAATCTTTGTCAACTCCCCGAGATTACGGACATCAATTGTGTTGAAGATGTCCAGCTGGTCACGTCGGAAAGGTGTGACGTAAGTTTCGGATTTGTTGAGTTTGATCTCGGGTGATGATCGGCCCTTGTCGCCATAAACGACGAAGGAGACGTTGGCACGTGTGTCGGCATCTTTGACGTCACCAGTGTGTACGACCACGCGGTAGGAAGTGACTGCCAATCAAGATAAAAGATGTTATTTTGTCATCGAGTGAAAAGGGGTACATGGAAAAAACGGCAAATGTCTAAATGTTGTCTCGATGATATTCATGACAATGATTCAAAGCTGTGGTGGCGGTGGTGGGTGGTAGTGACGATGACGGATGATGGTTTGATACTAAGTGTGGTTGTAGGGATTATATATGATGGTGATGATATATGATGATGGTGATGATATATGATGATGGTGATGATAT